GATAGAAATTAAAATCTTAAACAGATAAACTTTTTAAAATGAATTAACGATAACAACTATAATTATCATTAAACCATATATTATATTTAAATTTTTTATAAGTAATTCGTAGATAGACATTGAGACAATTTATATTATATAATTTTTATAGATGTCTACATTATCATATAATTCAAAACAAACAATTATTATACCAATTTATTATAAAATTTATTATATAAGAGATAACAATAACGTTATTGATATATTTAAAAAACAAATATGTGTAAAGATTTCAAATATATTTGTGTATTATGCGCAACGCGCGGGTATTCGTTTTGTATGTTTAGTATTGGTGTAACTGATGAATGTTGATCAATTTGCTTCTTTAAGTGGTTGTAAATCTGCACAACTTCCTTTTTCTTACATGGATCTTCCGATTGGAGCCTATATCTCTCGATTGATCGGTTGGAACTCTACAATTGAGAAATTTATAAAAAAAATCTTCTTAGAAAATTAGTTTATTGTCAGTTGGAGGCCAATCTACATTATTGAAATTGGTTTTGGGTTCCTTGGGGATATACTTCACGTCTTGATTTCGGATGGCGGGGTTGTCAATACATATTTGGAAATTGGAATCTCTTAGAGTGTAATATCCAGATTCCCAAGTATATTATTCTAATATTTTATTTTTGGATTTTGTGAAGGAACTCGGCGAGTTGATGCTTAGACTCGCCAAGTAGGGTCGCGGATTATCATCTGGGTTCGCGACTAGACTCGGTGAGTCCACGTTGTTTAATGAAACCCTAATCCCCCGGGTTTAGAGTCTATTTAAGGGCACTCATAGCCTCCCATTGCGGCTACCAGTCCCTTGAGAGAACCCTAAGTGAGCTAAATCGTTTGTGAGGAAGGAGAAGCTATATTTGATCTTTCTATCTTTGGTTTAGCAAGAAGAAGGTGATCAAGAGCAAGAGGAGACTGAAGGAGGTGTGATTCTAGTGGTTTCAGAGTCCAAAGACTTCATCTTGAGGTATTTATTCAGACCTTCTTCAATTTTTGGTGTTGATTCTTAGAGTTAGGGTTTTCTAACCCCTTTTGAGGATGGTTATGTGGAGCAATTGGTCCCTTCTCGAGTTTATGCTTTGCATCTGGACTCAAAGAGGTCCAGAGACCTTAACCCTTGGAGCTTTATGAGTTATTTTGGGAGTCATGAACTTATAATGTCATTTTTGGGGCTAAATCACCAAATGATACCATCTAGATGATATATGAGTGTCAAGGTCTGGACTTTACATGGTTATTATGCTTGGGAAGGCCAAATCTATGGATTAGAGGAACAGATCTGACCTCAGGAGGTCAATGGAGTTTGTGCATGGCATGTACTCGCCGAGTTGTTCTTGAGACTCGGCGAGTTAAGTCGGAGTGGCCCCGCGATTCATGACTGGGGACTCATCGAGTAAAGGGAAGGACTCGACGCGTCAAACGGGACTAAAGAGTTAGTGGACACGTGTAGAGTCGCCGAGTCGCCAATGTGCACTCGACGAGTTGGGTCAAAGTTGACCGTTGACTTTTAGGGTTTGGTCAACAATTGTACTTTTGGATCAGAAAGGGGTAAAATGGTCTTTTACCCTTCTATGGATTTTAGGAAGGGGTGTAGTCCAGCCTTGAGAGCCGTCAATGATTTAAATAATTACCTTATGTGATTAGACAGGGCTAGGTCGTTGTTTCGAGGTTCAGAGATACCGAGTTGTGACTTTCTGAGACATTCCCGAGGTGAGTCTTCTCACTATACATTACCTAGTGTGGAAACCCTGAGCAGACCGGAGGGTCTTATATGTTATGTGTTATGTGCTATTTGTGTATATGTGTTTGTGATATATGTATGCTATGTGATATAGACCGGACCAGAGGGTCCAATGATATAGATCGGGCCGGAGGGTCCAACGAGACAGACCGGGTCGGAAGACCCAACGATACGGAACTGGAGGGTTCCGCTGAGACACATCGACCAGAGGATCATATTGTAGCCTTGAGTGACGTATGTGTTGTATGTGGTATTTTGAGGAACTCACTAAGCAATTATGCTTACCGTGTTGTGTGAAATGTGTTTCAGGTACAAACGATGATCGCGGGAAGGCATCAGCTTGATTGTACACATTGTTGGAGTAATTTGATGAGATTCTAGGGAGATGTTTTTGATTACTTATATTTTGAGATGGATGTTTATGATTTGAGATACATTTTGATTTTCTTTATGAGTTATGAAATTTGAAAAATTTGTTTTGAAAATTCGGTGTTACATAGAGCTAGCTTATTATGGGGAGGCGATGCAATTTAAAGGAAAATATATGTGGTATAATGGGATGTAAATTATGGCTTGGAGGTTGGTTTCCTTGATGCTTTTAATAGAGCTTTGATTTATAAATGGAAATGGAGTTACGATAATAAGTCATTTGGTGTAAAGTCATAAAATCCATTGTCTTGGATACCTTTAAACCTTGGCTTCGAAAAAAAGGTTTTGGGGGAAGATGGTTGGCACGATTAATGATCTTCAGGAAAATAATATTATTTCGGTTAATGTAATTTGGAAAAAGGTGGGCAGTGGTTCGAGTACTCGTTTTTGGAAAGATATATGGATCTATGTCAATCCGTTAATGATTACTTTTCCTAGCCTTTTCTTGTTGGAAATGAAAAAGGACAAATTGGATTATCTCATAAAAGACAAATGAAATGGTGAAAATTGGAGTTGGAACTTGAGACATGCGATTAGGGGTGGATTGGAACAAGCTCAAATGAATGGAATGTTGGAGACCAGTCACAAATTTGTGGAATTTTTTGTAGAAGTGGTGTGATCTTGACATTCATAAGTTTACAAGGGTTGCTAAAGGTATAAATAGATAGACATGTGTTATTTATCTCACAATAAACGTATAAACGTATAATTCTCGAGGCGATCATCGTGACTATGTGGTGGGTGGTATGGAAGTTTAGAAACAACATTTTTTTAGTAATAGGGTAAAAGAGATTCTTTAAAAGATTCGATCGTTGATTTCTCTTGCTTATGGTATTGTCGATAGGAATAAAAAGGCAAGTGTTACATGGGTTGATTGGTTGAAAACACACCTTTTTTTCCTTTTGCTTTGTAATTTCTTTATTAATTCTAAACGTACAATATCTTCGATTGTGGCTTCTTCCAAGAGATGCTGTTATTGACAATTGTTATTATTGTTCTGTAAAATGAATGTTTTATTTTAATGAAAGTTTAGGTGACTGTCTATGTTAACTTTATGGGTTAATCAAATTGTCTTAGGTTAAAAGTTCTATTATATATTTATATACTTAGTCAAACTTGGCTCAGTCTAATACATTAAAAGGTAGACAACGCATTTCAACATTTACATTAGTTTAATTATTTTTGCGTGCATACTTAAAAATAGATTTAAGATGTTTCTCATTTAAACACCAAACCACCTCTAAATTGTAGATTGAATATTTTTCATATGTTTCTTGCAAATTTGGTATTTTAAATGTATAAGGTGAGTTAAACGAATCAATTAGTAATTTTCAATAAGTTAAAAACAGTTTTTAAATATTATTACAAAAAATATATTGTTTAATTAATAAAGAATTTTTTATTTATCTTTTTTAGAAACAATTCAAATGTTAAGTATGTTAAACTAGTTAGTTTATAAACTATAAAGTTTATTTCTATTTCATCATGTGGCTGTAGTTTAGTGGTAAGAATTCCACGTTGTGGCCGTGGAGACCTGGGCTCGAATCCCAGCAGCCACACATTTTTTTGCTGCTTCAACATTATAGATGATTGATCGCCTATTGGTTTTTAGGTAGGCAATTAATTACAAGGAATAATCTTCAAAATTTTGTTGTTAAATTTAAGTAATGAATCCAAATTTAAGCTTTTAATATCCTGAAAAATTCCATGGATTAAAAAAATGTCCTCAGATAGTAAAATGCATATTAAATACAGTATTAACATTATCATGTAAAAAGTTTAAATTCGTATTTAATAATGCAGATTAAATTAATAAAAGAAATTACAATTATCACATTAACATAAATAACTTATACGAAGATTGATGTTTTTTTTATTAACACTATAAAAAAAATTAATATGATAATGATTATTCAAGATAAATTACACATACTACAAAAACTGCAATTTGGGTTCTCCATGGCATGTTTAGAAGATATTGCTCTATCATGCGGCAAATTGTCTAAACAATGACTTGCAATGAATTAATAAATAACATCAGTTTGAATACTCAAATCCTTAGAACTTAGTAGAAATAATTATATACAATATCGAAACTAAGAATCTAATATAGTAGCAAAATGATATATTGTAATCACAAATACACAAAGGTGAAATGGTGTCAAGTTACATACAGTAGCTTTCATGAGGTTTCTTCACAAATGGATTTGAATATCTCCATTGTTAAGAGGACCACACAAGTTATATCCACAATGTTTTGTTACATGACCAATTTTTCCGTTCTTATATGTCAGCATATGCATTGTCAATTTTGTTCTCAAAAGCTCCAATGATTGGAATTTATTTGTTTGCTACTTTTTAAATAATAAAAAACACTGAACTCATTCAATCATTTTATCAAACACTTCATATGCATGTAAAGACACAAAACAAATTGAAAGGATTAATCATCTCCTCATAATCTAAAATAGAATTTAGTTGAAGATGAGTGTAAGAGCAAGCACAATAGTCAATAACTTGTTGCATGCATTGATGATTGATTGATATATAATGTTCTAAAGTTCCCTTGGAATCACAATAATAGTAGTCTTGTCTTGTCTTGTCTAAACATCTTACTAAATAACCAACCAGAATACACAAAACTAATAACGACCGACCTAGAAAATAAATAAATAGGGAGTGTCAATCTCATAAACATAAAGTAGAGTAGAGTTGAGTAGAGTAGAGAGAGCGCATCAAATAGAAGACGACAAATACAAAGTCTTGGTTTTGGTTTTGGGTTTTTTTCTCAAAAATCAAGCGAACCCATGGAAGGAGGCAATCCAGAAAGCTCTCTCCCCCCATGCCCATGTCCATGTCCATGGCCATCATTCCCAATTCTTTCTCCTCCACCTCCACCTCCACCTCCACCTCCTCCTGAGTTTTGAGTGAAGGACTCCAACTCTTGCTTCCCAAGTTTCAACACGTCTTCAGGAGAAAGTATCTTGATATACCACACACTATTTACAAATGCCCTACAACACACAAACAAACAATAATTAAATAAATAATTGATGATGGATGATGGATGATGTAGGATGAAACATAAACATACTCCCAGGGTCCGTCTCCAAGGAGAAGAACATCATTCTCCCTGTCAACGAATACAAGCTGCCAGCCTGATCTTTGAGGGTCTTGAAGCAGCCCCTCAACATTGAACATCTGTTCCAGTTCCTCTTTCAGCTCTGGGTAGCTGTGAAACCGGCTGATGTCCAGTGATCTCCCCACCGAACCTGATTTGTATACCTACACCCACGTAAAATCACCATATTACCCTTTATCCAACTTATTTACTTTATATGTTTAATTATATTGTGTTTACCTTGACAAACGTGCGATTAGGGTTTGGTGGGTCAATTTGTGATCCCGTGGTAGCATGCAGCAGCTCAGAAGAGTCCTGCATGTACCCAAAGTAAGAAGAATTATTCTGAAAACCAGAAGCCGGTGATGCCATTGCCATGGTCATGCTGCTGGTGGCTATGTCAGTTTCCTGTAAAAGCCCTACTGAAGAATCAATATTCGTTCCACCAAATAACCCCTGTGTCTGTGTATCCAAACTTGAAGCTTCTTCAACATTCTTCTCTTGATACGACAATGATGGAGCAGGTGAAGATGACGACAAATTGGGTTGTGATTGACCAAACCTCGAAACCCAAGACTGCTGGTTTTGGTTCTGGTTCTGGCTCTGGTTCGATTGATGCTGCTCAGTCAAAGTGGGCCCCGCCCTAGAAAAACTCAAGAGATTCCCGCTTCCTTCAGAGGTTATTAAAGAACCCAACATGTTTTGCATTGAAGGAGGGGCAAATTTGGTATTCGGGTCCATAAAAGCATGGGATTGTGGCCTCTCATGGTGTTGAAGCAAGTAAGATTCCGGATACGAACTCTGTTGTTGTTGTTGTTGTTGTTGTTGTTGTGGTTGTGGATGTTCTTCTGGTTGAGTGTTGACTTGTTGGATTTGGGTTTGACCATGGACGAATTGTTGAGGGATTAGTTGTTGTGATTGTTGGAAAAGTGGATTAGAAGTGCCTGAAGGACTATACTGGATTTGTTGCTGTTGTTGTTGTTGTTGGAATTGGAGTATTTGTTGTTTCAAAGCATCTCCACTTCCAAGATTCTGTAAACCTGCAGCTAATGCAGCTTGGTATTGCTGATTCAGATTACTTTGAAGAAAAGACGGATCTACCCTTTGTTGCATCCATGGAAACATGCCAACAGATTGGAAGTTTAGAGAGCTCAATCCTTGTTCCCCTGGTTCTCCTCTCAGCCATGTCATCCCATTAACCCCATCATCTCTACTATCTGTGCAAAAAAAAAAAATATAAATACTAAATACATTAAGTTAATCGAGTGTTACTTATTGTTTGCAAGTTATACCTTGAAAAGATGAAGCTCCGGGATACCAAGGGCGTTTTAGGCGAAGTGGAAAAAGTGATGGGTACATCGGGAAAGTAGTTAGTGGTTCAATTTCCCATAATGAGACACGTGGCTGCCTCTCACCTGCTGTTGATTCATCCCATCCAACCTACATGAAAAAAATTATATTAATTAAAAAATGAAGAAAAAAAACGGTTAATAAATAATATTGACTAAAGTAAATAAATTAATTACCTTTACAGATCTCCAATGAGAATTCTGCCAACGAACGGGATCCAAATCACCGATTCCAGTAATTGTACCCATGTATCTACACAACATTAAGACTCCTCAAATAAGATTCACTTTTATATATTTTTTTTTGAATTTGAATTTTTTTTTTGGTTTTACCTTCGAACACTTGATTCTTCAGTTTCGAAAAGCATGCGGAAACGCATCCCAACAGAAACACGCGTATGATACACAGCTTTCACATATTTTGAAAGAGGAATAACAAATTCACATGGACTCGCCCTAGATACAATAATATTTAAATTAAGTAACAAAATAATAAAATAAAAACTTTTGAATATTTATTTTTACCTTGGATTATAAAAAATTGTGAAACAACTATTTGTAGCGGCTGCATGAGCAGCAGCAGCAAGGAGCCCAATGTGCATGCTATCACTTGATAGAACGGATGATGGCATTACAGTTTGTGGACGTGTTGCTCTACGTATCCCCAAAAGTAGTTGATTTTTTTCATTCCTGATTCACAAAAAATAAAAAAAATAAAAACATTTTGATACGTGGATTTTAATTTTAAGAAATAATAAATAATAAATGAATAATACCAGATGAAAAGAACAGAATCCCCTGCAACAAGTCTTTTTGCACTAACAAATACACTCCACCCTGTGGTAAGAAGGTGACGTTTTGGTTGCCCTGTAACGTCAATAAAAAATAATCAGATAATTAGATTCATGTTATAGAGAATGAAACTTGAAACGATGTGAAATGACTAAAATACCCACCACGAAAAATATGTCTGAACTTCCATTCAACATCATGGAGATCTCTTGCGATGAGTTCTTGGGCGGGTGGTTGTTGAGAGAAGTCCTGGAAACGAAAACAGTGTGAAGGTGTGAGTTTTTTTTTTTTTTTAATATTTGGGTGTTGGGGATATAGAAGGGTAGAAGCGTAATTTCACACCAATGGAGGGAAGACTTTTTCAGCTGCACGACGAGGAACAGAGAATCCTCCATGGGTACTGGTATCACTTGCTGTTAATGTCTTGCAAAAGTAATTGGTTGGCTGTCTGCTTGGTGTGCCCAACTCAACAGGTAGAAATGTGTCCTTTTGTTCTTGCTAACAAATATATATATAAAAAAAAAAAAAATTAACTTTTTGAAACTGGAAATTACAAATTTGAAAAGTTTTTAACACAAAGATTACCGGGGTCAAGGGCTGTAATGTCATTTGGGCGTAAACCTCATCTGTTTCAACATCCGCCTGAATTTAAGAAATCAACAATGTTTTTGATAAGTTTTGAGTTGGATGAGTGCATGAAGTATAACAAGTAAGAAATTCGAACTGAGAAACTCACATGCATTGTGACATTGTGGAGTTGACAGATCAATTGGGGAGGCAAGCTTGGGTAATTGGGTATATGAGCATCGATTTCTTTATTTGTAGTGGCAGCAACCTGGCTTTTTCGGTTTCAATTAAGATCAATTAATAGACGATTGATTGATTGATTGATTAAGTAGCAAATTCGGGATGAAAATTGAAAATTGAAACGATTGTGAAATTGAAATGGAGATGAAGTGTTGAAAGTTGAAAGGTGAAACCTGTTCGCTGTGGCCTTGAGGGAAGTAAACGACTCGACTGCCAACTATAGGTAGGGAGACAAGGGGGCCAGCACAAGCGTGCCATAGCTCTGAATTCAAGCATTTCTTTTCTCCTTTCATGGGAAATGAGAAATAAATTAACCCTAATTAATCGAGAAACATCGACAAAAAAGAATGTCTACAAAGATATGGAATGTAGAAGAAGAATAAATGAAAAGGAGACACACATGTAAAGTCAGATTAAAAAAAAGGGAAAATCAAGAAGAAAGATTTGAAGGAGATACCTTCATGAGCCTGCTGACCCAGCCCTGATGTTGAAAGCTTCATATTTTATCTAAACCCTTTGAATTATTATATAGATATATTTAATAATGATAGTATACAATCTTCGAATTCTAAATCATAACTCGACAAATCACGATTGATCAAGCAAAAACCCCACCCCCCACCCCCGAAAATCCAAATTCCCCCCTTTATCTTTCAGCTTAACCTCTTCTTCCTCACTCTGAAACATGTAATTTTGACATGCATTATTCCGCAATTAAACCTCCCCCACATAACTAAAATCGCAGACATACAAACCCAAACTCAAAACCCTAACCCTAACCCAGCTCAGTAAACCACTGATTCTTCTTCTTCTTCCCATACACCGCCATGAAAAACCCTTCTCTTTCCAACTTTTTCCCCAATCGCTATCGAGCTGATAAAAAAACAAATAGAAAAAAACGGAAAGGAAAGATGGAGGGTGACGCAGTGGAAGCTTTTATACACGGCACCCGGCCCGACCGTAGGCGACCTGAAGAGCAGTAGAGAGAGAAATAGAGAGAGAGAGAGAGAAATAAAAACGATGAGAGAGAAATGAGTGATGAAACGATATATATGAGAGTGTATGTATGTATGAATCTATAGCAATCAGAAGCATACTACGAGAGAGAGAGAGGAAAGAGAAGAAGAGGGAAAAAAGGTGTGATCATGGCCGTAGGGAAGACCGTACCTGGAGATCGTAACCGTTGATTTTGGAGTGACATGACAGTAGGCATGTGCGACCATCCTTCAGTGGTCGTTGTCAGAGTACGAACCTTTGAATTTTATATAAAATAAAAATGAAATTTTTTGCAGAGAGAGAGAAAGAAAGAGAAAGCGTGTAATGAATGGAGAGAGAGAAGGTGAATGAGGGCGTGAGGATCGAAGAGAGAGAGAAGAGAGATATTTTTGTTTAATAATTGGATTTGAATTTTTGCTTTTGGGGCCATACCGAAATTATTAATCTCTTCCGAGCTATTCCATTGCATATTTGCATTTCATCCTCCTCCGCCACCGTTAATACCACCGCCACACTCCTCATCTTCAACTCAAAATAATCAAATATACCACTCCAATCTTCCTATTGAATGCAACCAATTCTATTTATTTCAAATAATTTGATATATTGATTTTCCTTATCTGTCTTCGGATTAATACAACATTTTCTTGTTGATCATATATATATATATATATATATATATATATATATTATATATATATATATATATATATATATATATATATATATATATATATATATATATAAAAGAGCTTGTAGAGATTGTGTTAAGAATTTTGGGTCATAATAATATCAATATTCGTGGACCTTTCTTGGATTGTGATCGTAATTTGATGACGTGCCCCTCAGAGTGGGCTAGGAATAAAGGAAGTCACTAGCGAGGCTCGGCCAGGCCCAGTCTGGCCGCCCCAGCGGATCCCCAGCTGTTAGGCACCCCAGTGGATCTCTAACCGCCAGGCGCCCTAGCAGGACGACCGTGCGGAAAGCTCATCCGCGCCAAGGGCGCCTTCCACTACAGTCAAAGAACAACGGCTCCAGGTGACAAGAAGCACATCCAAAGCATTATCGTCTAGACCAATCGTTGGACCTGACACAATAAGAAGGAGTTTGAACACGGATGTAGGCTAAGTAAATCAATGGGCAGTCTTGGTCCTATTGAAAATGCCAGTGAAAGTAAAGATCCGAATAGAAATGATACGGATAAAAACATTCAGGGTTGGGTGGTCATGATAATTACAGTAATGTTGATCTTTTTTTTGGCGTCAAGGAAATTCGGAGGAACACGACTCATCAATAAGGACAACGAATCTTGTCGGGACTGCAGTCCTTATTCCTCGTACTGATCGAGGAGGATCCTCAGTATAACAGGACCACCATTCTGCCTTGAAGGGTAAGCTATATCTCCTGATTCTCAGCCTTCATCCTCCTATACACTACTAGCTTGACCATCGGAGCGTTTTTCCGGGACCTCCTCCCGGAGAACGGCTGACGGCTTTTACTCTTTGTGATCTCTCGGATTTCTCTCCGATGAACGCAGTTCTCATCCTCTTGGTGGTCGGAGCTCTGGTCACATCAGCAATTATTTTCCAAAATCTATTATTTCCACCATACGAAATCAGATTTGGGATAATCCAAAGAATTTCAATTTAGAAGTCAACCCATTTCTAAATCAGAAACACAAAATATACATTGTTGTTTTTGTGTTCTAGAGAGATAGAATGAATCAGTATACAATTTTCATGTATGAAAGTTCCAGCCCTTTTTCTGAAACCAGAGAAGGATTCTTATACTAGAGGGAAAAGTAGTTAAACTGAAGTTGCATCCTTTTAGCGCCAAAAATCATTGGTTATTAAGACACAACCAACTCATGACATCATCATGATATCATTACAGGTTTTGGCAGAAAAATGCATGGCAGGAGTCATACTCGACATAGAAATATGTTTAGGTTTCGGGGCGTTACCCCTTGGAACCTCGTCCGCTAACCGGTCAATGGAACCACCGCCAGGGGCTTTGCCCCTTGGACCCCGCTAGGGGCGCTGCCCCTAAACCCCGCACCACCAAGCTCGGTTAGTAAATGAAGTTCGACACTATAATTATAACTGAAAAATAACTTCAAATGTGTTTTTAGCATAGTTAAAACTTTCGTTCATAAATTTCAATCACATAATTGGAATCAACATGTTTAGTTAATCTGACTAGCATACTCAAAAATTTTGAATGAAGTCGTTTTTCGTTGGATTTTTGCATGCAGTTTGAGAAAGTGACACATATCGTGTTCATGGAGGTGAGACTTGGCACCATAAGAACTTGAAACTTGTCAAGATTATGTGCCTCCTCATTTTCTACATATAGGAGGGAGAAGGTGACCTCTATCCTCACACATCTCTCTCCATATCTCTCTAGATCTTTCTCTCTAGTTTTCCGACCAAGAATCACCGTTCCGCCAACGTGCATCACCACCACCGGAGCACCTCCAACCATCCCCTTGCTCCGACATAGATATTTATTTAGGTACGATTGAGAGATGAGAACAATGAATCATTTGTAGAATAAGGAATTTGAATGCGTGAGGGTGGGGGCGAGGAACACTTGTGAGGTCTGGAGCACAAAAACCCTAGTTCTTCCTTGATTTTGGGAGGACACATCTTCAAAGTGGTGTTTAGATATATAATTATAAGACGACACTTACAGGATGACACACATATTTAATGAAGTGTACTCCGTGTTTTTTATACGAAAATGTGTGTAGGTTCGTGCAACATTAAAGACTTATTTTTTAGTAGTGATAATAATAATAAAATACAAATAAAATGTTTTCTTTATTTCACTTCGAGGGAAACCAAAATCAAAACATTGGCTAACTTTATGACCATATGGTTAATAAAATCTTTTGGACAACATATGAAAGTTTAAACAACGACAAAGATCATTTTATGTAATTTACTCTTAAACAAAATAATAAACTTAGGAGTAAATTATAAATACAATCATTGTGTTTGTAAAATATTTGATGTTTAGATAAGTTTTTTTTACAAGTATGTCCTTAAGTAAGGTTGTTGTTGCAGTTTTGGTACCTATGGTTTCACTTTGTTTTCAATTTGATCTATAATTACCATTTTGCCCATCTATTTTTTTTGTTTTTTAATATTTATTATTAATAGTTATATAATACTCACCCCAACACTATATTCAACCCATGTCTTTCCCTTTCGCCCCTCCAATTTCATCACATGTAGTCTCCCACCTATTTGGAAGAAAACATTATCATTCGATTTCTATCTTTTTGTAAATTGAGTGGTTTAATTGAATTCAAAAACAAAATTCTAATAATTAGAGAAGAAGAAGGAAAAACTTGATGGAAACATTTTTTTCTAGTCATTTCATATTCAATTGATATCAAGTTCGTTATATAATTGTACAACTTTTTGTGTGTATGTGAAGTTTGGTGTAAAAAGGCAATATTCTCCAAGGTGGCAAAAGCTATGAAATGTTAAACATTTTGTATGGTTGATACATTGTTATATGATGAAATCAACTTTTGGAAAATGTTTTATGATCATTAGAATAGGGTTTGGATCATTGATTGTGAATATTTTTTGAAAAGGTAAAAGGGAAGATTTGGCTAGGTACTAAAATCTACTGATTAGACACGACACATAATATAGGGTTACACAACGTGGAGATGCCTTTTTGACGTAGAATGGTTATGTACATTGCTACTTCAAAAATAAGCAATGTACAATGAGAGCACAACACATAAAATAATATTAAACGACATGTATGAAAGTATGATGCTAGATAATATGTTTGTTAAATAGTCGATTGATTGGATCGAAAATTATTGTGGAAGAAAATAGAATTTGACTTTAACAACTCCAAATCACAAATTCTAACTCCTTGATGCAACTGAATTGATATCTATTGTGAATTAAGTAATAAAAGAACTTAAGTTGTTTGGAAGTTCATTGAGAACTTATTAGTTGCTTTGAATTAATATGAGTAAAAACAAAAGTTCGATAGTGCCCGCAATTTAAGGCTAAACGTTTAGAGTATAATAATAATAAATATATATTTTAATGAACAATTATAGTTGTTGATTAAAATAATTGTTCTTCATATGTGTTATGAGCTAATAAATAATTATCGTATACACATTGGCGAACAAATATTAGAATTATATAATATTTGAAAAAAAACATTAATATGAAAATTATCTTTAAGGGATAAATAAAAGATTAAAAATAAGTGATTATTTAAGATAAATAATTTAAACGGAAGTTATAGAAGTTGTGAACATGAGCACGTGGATATAAAGAGCACTTAAATCTGACTTCGTATGAGAAAAATATGATTTATCAAAGTTCTGTGTTCAAACCGATACGGCAATGTGCATCATAAAAAGTGTACCAGAGATAGGTTGGTTTTTAGCCAAAGTTATGTAAATGAAAATCAAATTGCTCGTCAATAGGAATTTAACGTCCCAAAAATAAGACCCGAAATT